TGCAGTACACAGATTTGAGGGTAAATAACCCCAATAACCCCCCTTATATCCGCCACTGTGGGCGACAACAAGAAAGATAACCTCCTTAAATTTTCAAAATTTTCATTAGCTTTGAGATTTTCACATCAATAATAAGCTTTATATAAAATACCAAATCATTTAAATCATTTTTCAATTAAATCTGAATGTTTTACTAACGAATAATGCGCAGGTTGATCTATAGATGTCTCTACCGTCGTCAAATCAATTTCCAACATGGCTGCTTTTTCAGCCACCGGCCACAACTTAAGAAATCAAAACAAGAATGTTTCTTTTTGATTATGCGAAAGGATCGATGGAGTTGCTGGATTCATGATTTGAGCTATTGAGGTATAGAAGTGATCGAGTGAATCCATCTAATTTTACAGTTACAAAGCTAGCTTCGTGAACTCTATTTTAAATCCTAAATCCTAGAGGTGTTATAATGCTAAGTGAAGAACCTATATATATACCTAGGAAGCTTTAGAGGTATCAAGCTATGGACCCTAATGCCTGGCAGGCATATCAGGCCGCTTACTCAAGCAGATTTAACTCAGGTAAAGCCCTTGAACATAGTGTGAAATTGATAGTTTTGATCTTACTTAATAAAATATAGGTAACTTCCTGGTTAAGATTTTTGGACCCTTACTCCCCCCCACTCATATCAATTTTGTACATGGATCTCATATGTAACGTACATGGATATCATTGGTCATGTGGCCCCTAGCCTGTCCTAGCCCGCGGCGCTTCGCCTCCTAGCCTGTCGTAGCCGCAACGCTCCGCCCAGAAATTGTCTAAACCTAACCTAACCCAAATATAACAAAATAACAAAATAAGTAAAAGTAATTTTACTGAACATTAGTGGGTTGTGCAAAATTGGTAGGAGGTGGGGGGGTTCCAAAAATTATATATTAGAATACGACTTTTGCCCCCCCCCCCTGTTAATTCTGTACATGGCTTTGGTTCCTGTCTACTTCCAAAAATCGTATAGTAGGAAATTACCGGGAAGGGGTCTAAAACTTATTTTTGTTAAATAAAATACAGGGTTACCCACAAAATATGAGACTGTAAAGACGATCTGAAACTAAATATGACATATCCGAGGTCAAATTATGTATTCCTACATTTACGGCCTTTCAATGATGGGACAAAGAAAGAAACAAGTTTAGAATTGCATGGAATCATGAATATAAGGAAACAACCAGTGTTGATTCCGTTCACTCTTTTCTTCTGTCTCATCCTTTTTGGTATGGTAAGAAATAACAGATTTGTCTAAAGGAGCTCGAGATGAACCGAATCCCTACGCATCCAATCCTGCATCCTTGTTCCTCGCTCATCAGCAGCTTAGAGAAGTAGCTAGCCAGCATTATCAGGTCTATTCATCTATTCATCTAGTCAAGTTTCCATACTTTCGTAGATTCATCTAGTCGTCTTTATCCATTCTTTAAAGTCTATACCATACTCATCTTACTCATCTACATCTATTCATCTAATCTAATTTTCTAATATTCTAATGTTAAGAATTCTCCGTGTGTTATAATTCGGCCAGTCATCTATTCGTGTCTTCTTTGTTACATATTTTTGTCTAATCATATTTTTTTATTCTCATTTTTTATGTTTACACCTGTATTCATGTTTTCTAGTCCACGAATTTAAAAGCGTAAAGAAATTCGTCTATTCTTCGGTCATACTAATTACACAAATAATTCTTCTTTTCGTTTATTATTAAATATTGTCTATTTATATAGATTTGTATAATCTATTAATAAAAATTGTTTTAGAATCAAATCTTGCCTCCTTCGTTGGTCCATGCGGCTGCAAATAATAAGTCTCAGCTCCATCAGCAGGTTTAAACGATAAACATAGTACCCATAGGTGTTATATGGGGGGGGGGGGAGTTCAGCACACATTGGGGTGACAAAATCCCCTGGAAACCATAGATTTCACTGAAGCAGGGGGATGAGCCCCTATCGTCCCCCCCCCTCAGTACGCCTCTGATAATTCCATCAAGAGTTGGGGACTCCCCACCCCCCCTCTCCAAAAAAATACCTTGAAAACATGTATTGTGTAAATTGAATGTATAGAGAGGAGCTGGGGAAATTATTATTTTTGACAACAGAGGGGGATGGTCATTATGTAAATCATTGAACTTTAGTGAGAGAAGGAACCAAAAACTTAGAATTCCATTAAATAATTAAAAAAATTAAACCCCTAAGAAAACAAGAAAAAGTCGTTAGTTTGCATTCAATGAAATAACATTCTGTAGAAATATTTCTTGTTGGTTGTTGTTGAACATTTTGAACAGTATGAATATCGTTATTATTAAAAACTTGATAATAAAATGTTTCTTTTACGTTTAGTTTTTTTTCATTATCCAGTAACTATTATTTTTTAGGCTCTGGCCAACTTGAATCAGATGACGGGGGCAGGTATTCTCAATTCCTCCGCCGCGGCGTGGAAGATGGAGGCGGAACAACCACGCCATGAACCCCGCCGATCCGTTATTGAATCCAAAAGTAGTCAACCCGCCTTTCCAGGACAACCGCCACCGTTACAGGTGATAGATGTAAAAAAAACCGCCGTTTCGTCTTTTTACCGAATAGTTTGATTCAGTGTAATTTGGAAATTATTTAATTTAATACAAAAATCACTTTTTTGGTAATTCTCCGCCCCTCCCCGTACCCTTTAGTAAAATAACATTGTAGAAGTTAATCAGTGGCAGATACAGGGGTACAGTCAAGGTTATAATGCATGGGAAGTTATTTTAGAGGTGTGCGCATCTTTTGTACTACAGTGTACTTTCTTGGGGAGGGTAATGTAAACACATGACGGATGTCGAAGCCTGACATGGGATCCATCTTTCACATAAATAATCAATGAAATATTCTGGTCATAGGAAACTAGTATGTGAATTATCAAAATTATCAAAATTTAATGCTTTTAACCTCCTCGGATACTAAACGAACACGATTACATCTATTCTTGTTTACAAATTCCGATCAGAGAGAACTGGTTTCAATATGTGCGTAGAGTATACGCAACTGCAATTAACTTTCCTTGCATTATAACCTTGAACTCAGTGGTTTAAACTGTAATAGAATAAAAATAGATTTGCTTTAAACTCTTGTTGCAGATAGGTGAATTAAAGGCCGATTAAGAACTGAAAAACTTGTGTTGAAAGCTCTTATAGAAACAAAGTTATAAGACATTAAGTTATGTACTTTTGTGATTTTCAAAAGTTATATCAAACTGTAGCTATTTTTGAAATTTTTTTTTTTAAAAATTGAAGCAAAGTAAAATTTTAGCGTAAAAATAAAAAACCTTAAAAATATTTTTTTTTAAATTTAAGAATTTAATTTATTCATTTACGTACATATTATTATGATGTCTTTTAATTTATACATTTACGTACATATTACTATTATGTCTCAAAAGTGGCAGATTTGCAGTTATGATTCTAAATCACAAGTTATCTCTTTCAAAATAAAAGCAAATTCACCTTTTTTAAGATAGCGAAATATGGTTAGCAACCATTAGTTTTACAGAGTATCTGATTTCTAGTAAAAATTGTTTAAAAGTTATAGCCTGTTATGTACTGATCTCCATTAAATCTGATTTTTAAGCCACTGTGAGGGGTGAGCAATGAACATGGGGGGGGGGGAAGCTACGGAAAATAGAGAAAAAATTCTTGTATTCACCCCTGAAATTAGTGTTTATTCCTACAGAAATATTGGGATTCATATTTTAGATATAATTGGAATTGGAATACAAGTTTTTAATTGTATCATTTTGAATCGTTGACAACACTTTGTTTTACATAAATAAGACTTAAAAACCTTAGAAATTGTTGAAATAATATGAAAGATAAAAAATCCTTATTTAGGATCGATCACGTGACAGTCCTTTATACCCTGGTCAACCCCCTCCTCGACAGTCCAGTCAGCCTCGGTCCCAGTCCCATTCTTCTCCAGCTTTTCCAGGGATAGTCCCTCCACAGTCCCCAGTCTACGGAAACCATTATAGTCCTCATCTCAATAGCATGCTTAAGGGAAAGAAACCCTAGTGCAAAACAGGGAAATTATCTGTCTTAATAAACTTTAATGTGTGAAAAGTTAAAATCTAGTTTTTAGTCTTAAGTCATTAATTTTGACTCTTTTTGAGTCTTTTAAGTCAAAAAAAATTTTCGCCTGCGCCGCGATTTTTTGTTCCTAATTATTAATTTTTTTGTTCCTAAAAAATCTTGCCCCCCCCACTCACTTAAATCCTGTATCCGCCCCTCCTTGTGACACTCTTTGGTTTTCTTGATTTTTGTTTCCCTGTTTATGCAATCCTTCTATCAAGGTTTCGTGGAAAATAAAGGGGAATCGTTTTTCTGACGTCCTGGTACAAGCACCAATACTTTTGACCAGTTTCTAAACTCCTTCAAAAATAATTTTTCTCCGTCAATGTGTTTATGCGGAGCTGTAAAAAAGTAAAAAAAAGTTTGAAGAATTTTGTATTTTTCCTATCAGAATATTAAAAATACCCTCGCTATAAGAAGAAGATTCTCTAAAATGTTGGTATATATTTATCATATAAAATGATAAACTTGCGTCAAAACAACATCAAAGTTATATTTTTTTAAATTCTATTTTTGCATCGACACAACCTATGATGATCATTATAGGTATTTTATTTCATGTGCTTCAAAACCAAAGGTTTTTTTTGACAAGAAGTTTTCTCCTGATTTTTTTATCCATAACTTACTAGTTTCTTGATTCAAATTAGAACTAGGATGTATATGTATAGTATTCTCCCGTCTACAGGCCGATAATGATAATTATTTCTTGGGTCGACTGCAAAAGAAGCTTTTATTTATACAAATTTTCCCCCCTATCATCTTTATTTATTGTCCAGGATTACCAACGGGAACGGGAGAAGGAGAGACAGGAACAGGAACGGAGAATAAGAGAGGAGGAGAGAAGGGAACAGGATAGAATACGTAGAGAGCAGGAACGATTAAGACAGGAGCAGGAGCACAAGCGCCGTGAACAGGAACGAATACGAGCGGAGCAGGAGAGGATGCGTAAGGAACAGGAGGATAAACGGCGGAGAGATGAGTACGAGCGGCGGAAACGGGAAGATCACGAACGGCGGAGGAGGGAAGAACAGGAAAGGCAAAGAAAAGAGCAGGAAAGAATAAGACATGAACAGGAACGAATACGAGAACAGGAGCGGATACGGCAGGAACAGGAGAGAATGCGAAAGGAGCAGGAGAGAATGAAACAGGAGCAGATGGAACAGCAGACGCTTGAAGAGCAGCAGCGTGATCTTGGTCTTGCTCGACTAGGAGCTCTTGGTGCGCTCAACGATCTCGGGGATCAGCACGAGATAATGTATCAGGATGGAGGAATGCAAGATCAATTCAATAACTCAACTATCAACTTTCATGAACTAAACATGCTAAACCAGAGTCGGAACAATATCCTGATAAAAGAGGAGCAAAAACCCTTGAATAATTACAATCCATGGATAAACCGAGCCAATGAACTCCTGGACCTTAGCTCAGGTGACTCCAGGGATACCCAGGGTCAAGAGGAGGGGGGGTTCATACCCCAGATCCTCATGAACCCCTGGGACCCCCAGCAGCCCCCTATGATGACCCTGGCTCCTATAGCAAATGCTATGCAGCAGTATCAGCAGCAGTGGTTAACACAGTATCAACAGGTTGGTTAATATAAAAAGAGGCCGACTTTAAAGAATTTGAGCCGCGGCTCAAATATGGTTGGTTCCACTTAAAATTGAATTGTATTCAATTTTCAAGATTTAAGCTGGCGCTCAATTAAAACCGATTTTTGACAGATTTAAGCCGCGGCTCAAATTCATTTTATTCGGCCTCAGGACTGTTCAGTTAGTTAATTGTAAAGTTAGTTGTTATTCAACTTGACTTTTCATTAAAGTAAATTGAGATAATCCTTTCTTTTGACGGAAAGTGTTTTGTAAAAATGGTTTAAAAAATTTGCAGTTTAAAATTGTATCGAGTAACAACAATAAAAATTATTTTAAATAAATGAGTTTAGAATACTTTTGAGTAGAGGTTAATGGGGTACTTGTTCCTCAATCAAAATTTTAGGCAAATTGGTCGAGGGGTTCTGTAAGTCCATAAATCTTCCCTAATTTAGAAGATTCATCTTGAGGTTAATATGTGGTTAGTTGGATGCACCTAAAACTCTTGTTTTGATTTTTTATCTCTCCCGTAAATAAGAAATGTATTGATAATGATTATTAAGGCTGCAATGACGATGAGTGATGAAACCTCAAGCGGTGGAAAATGTCGAGTTGTGTGTATTCCTCCAGAAGAGGAGTTAGGCTTTCTAATAAATCTCCCGGCACCCTGTAATCTACTCTTTCAACCACCGCCAGAAGTCGAGAGTAAGTATTTCAGCATTGCTTAGGATCCGGATGAGGATCCGTTGGATCCCCAACATTTTGGCTTCCTGGATCAAGATCAACAAAAAAACTGCAAATAAATCTTTTGCTCTCAAAACCCAAATCTGAACTGTTGGAAAAAGAGATATTATTAAAAAATTTAATTATCTCTCTGAGGTTCATCAAGTTTTAGCATAAAAATAAGCAAAAATAGAGAGGAAAACATTATCAAATTCTTTGTTCAATAAATCAGTATATCTTAAGGAAATGTTCACGACCATGATCCGGATTCATTTTTTACAGTGCGGATCCAGGATCCGGATTCATTTTTTACAGTGCTGATCCAGGATCCGGATTTATTTTTTACAGTGCGGATCCAGGATCCGGATCCATTTTTTACAGTGCGGATCCAGGATCCGGATCCGCATCAAAATCAAATGGACCATTAGCACTGTGTGGTGAATCAGGGTTGTATAGTTTCTTGAAAATATATTCCCCTTTGTTGGAAAATTTTGTTTACCCAGATGTTATGTATGTTTGCGCGGAGTGCCAAATTTGTTAGGGTTTTATTCGCTATATTAAGGAGGAAGATGATGTTTAGGGGTAAAAAAAAAAAATAAAATTTTGTTTCAAAGGGTTATCAATATTGCGCCATATGATATTCAATCAAGCCAGGACAGGCGTGATCGCTGTGGCCAGGAAAAGCATAGGGTGGCGGTGTCGTGCCCACCAGAGTTCTGATATTCCTTTCCACTTGGTTTGGAAACCTGATCCCTCAAAGTTAAATTAAAAAATGATTGTTAAAACACTGCTCATGTTCGTAATTTTCCATTATCTATTCATATTTTAGAAGAATTCTATCAAAATAATTTTGTACAATTTTAAATTCTTCTGAAAAAGGAAAAATAAATTATATTTTAAAAATTCATTTAAAATCAGAATTGGAAGAAGGACTTCATTTTAGACAGGCTTATTATTTTTACGTTTTTTTTTAATGATGAATTATTTTACAATTTGCTATTTGGTGAAGTTTTTTAAAAATGTCTTTATAGCATAATAATATAGAATATAGAGGGAACACGCAAGACAATGGTAGAAAAAAAAAACAATATTCCCATCATATTCATATATTATACAACCTAAAATGCCCGACGAAAAAATCGAATTTTGAATTTTTGAAGAAATATATTTACATGTATATATATATATATGAGCGAAGAGCTTTATTATATAGAATGAAGAATATGTTTGAAACCGCTGAATACCGTCAAGATTTTTGTTTTTGATATTTAGTTTGTTTTATTCAATGTAAAAAATGTACAAATGATCGTCCTGAAACCATTTTTTGTCTGGAGTTGTAGATTGTATACGAAGCGGATAGCCAATAGCCACCCTTGCTTGTGATATTTAAATAATCGATTCGAAAAAGACCAAGCTTTAAATCTTCAAACGGGGTGAATTAACAAAAAAATTCAAATTTTGTTTTTAAACTGTAACGAGGAAACTTTTAATGCAAGATGGACAAGAGCATTTCTAAAGAAAAAGTTTCAAATATTTCTCAAAATAAGTTAACTTAGACTGTTAATTATTTTTCCTATTTTTGTTGACTATTGATTATTTCAGGTTTAAAGAACGTAGATTCTCCATTTCTCGTGACCTACCAGAAGTTTATTAAGGAAAACACATTCAATTATTCTTTATTTATTCAGCTGGACCTGATGTCCCTCTTTCGAGGATTAATTTTACCTTTTGATTGTGTCCACAATCTTTTTGCATCATTTGTGGATTTCCAACACTGATAAGATTAGTTATTGACGAAATAATGAATGTCTCCTAGCTCATGTTCATAATTTTTGTTTTTATTTTGTCAAAAATCTGTTTTCTGTTTATACAAAATGAATAATGATAATGCCGGATACCAGGATCCTGAGGCTGTGAAACTAACCGAGCTTTCTGAAGCACCTGACGAGCCCCCAACACCCTACCCTGGTCAATACTCATCTACCCCAACTACAGAATATGGACCTACTCCAGGTAACTACCCTCTGAAATGAACAGACAGAAGGACCAGCTCCTTCCTAACCCCCCCCCCTGACATGAACCTAATCCTGGTACCCTCACTCACCCCTGATATAAACCTACACCCGGTAACCCCCTCACCCCCTGATATGAACCTACACCCGGTAACCCCCTCACCCCCTGATATGAAACTACACCCGGTAACCCCCTCACCCCCTGATATGAAACTACACCCGGTAACCCCCTCACCCCCTGATATGAAACTACACCCGGTAGCCCCCCGGCCACCATCCCCTGATATAAAACTTAACCCGGTAACCCCCCCCCCCACACACACACACACTCACTCCCTGATATGAATCTAAACCTGGTCCCCTCACTCCCTGATATGAACCTATACCAGACATAAGACATTGTTTCTTGTGAGTTGAGTTGCATAATATGATTAATTATATTTTAGCTAAGAAAATGTACATCCCACCCTATACACCTAAAGCTACAATAAAAAAAGAAGAATCGGAATTCAAACTCTCAGTTTCCGGATTCTCAAGGTATTTTTTTCTACCCTCTTTACTTGTAAATTTTAAACGTCACAAACCTTTTTTTTAGTAATTTATAAATTCATATTCATTCTTTTTTTCTTCCATCATGTAAGTAATGAGTTTGTTGAAACATGAGTAAATAATAAATAATAGTTTAAAAGATGAATTACTCTCGTCACGTGGAAAAAATCATGATCCCGAGAATTAATAATTCGCAGTTTTTCATTCATATAAAATCCTAGGTCTTCAGAACAGCCCGTCAAACCTTCAAGACAAAATAATAGGTTAGTGATTTTAACATGACTTTTCACTAAAATTACAGACACTAGTAGGGTGTACCTTTTTCACAAAAATTTGATATTTTTTGATTTACTCGTTTTTTTCCGTTCATACAATTCCTCTGACTCGTTTGTGGTGAATCGTTAACAGCTTTAGTGTAGAGGAAAAATACCCCCCCCCCTCCCTCCGAAAGAAATGTTCATAACATTTTGTCTATTGCAAAATAAGACAATATTTTTGAGGTATGAAAGTTTTAAATAAAAATTATAATATTATTTGTTATCGTGAAGATACGAGTATCTTACAATAAGCCATTTTGTTAAATTAAATCATTTACTTTTTGCACTGAAATAAAAGGATTAATCAATAAAAAATCAGAAAAAATTATGTATATAAATAACAAGTAAGATTAGTAAGATTTAAACCATTTATTTTAATTGTAAAGGGAGTGACCGGCAATTTATGGAAATAGAACTGAGAATGAAGTAATGTGGAGAAATTTTTTAGGATTCATTTGAGACATAAAACGTTTTAATGGTGTATACTGTATAATTACTTAGTTTGAGCCAACGAGGTTAGAGTGATAATGTACGCTAATCTTTTACTATTTGTATAGGCCATGAATTATACCGAGAGCGTACTGCATATTTGTGTATTATAAGGGGATTCTGACCTAACCTATAGTATATTAATAATAGAAAACAGTTGTAAGTGTACAGTACAGCTAACTGAGCACACAGGTAGGAAACTGTTACTCCCCCTGGTTTGAACGCAAAATCATCCATTGAACAATCTTTTTGGATTATAAAGATAGAATTTGTGCTCTTGCTGAACAAATATGCACTGAAAACGTCTCGTAGGTCTCGAATAAATTCTAAAAAATTCACCGCAATACTGAATTTTCAGCTCAACAATTTGTCTAGCCAGTCACTTCCTTTAAAAAGTCAGTTGGAATTTTTATTTTAACACCCTTTATACAGGGTGTCTGGTAGCCAGAGAGGAAGCCAGAGTAAGGAGAATGGGGCTATGAAGCATCAGTCCCCCGGGTTGAAGAAGAAGTCGAGGAAGGAGGAGGAGGAAGAGGAGGAGCCCATCCTTCGCAGAGAATCGTCCAGAAGAAAGGCAAAAGAGCAGAGTAAGGTATGAATATGTAGCGTCTCAGATCTGGAGCCGTAAAAAGGCTCTCTGGATCCGAATCCGCAACATTCAGGCTCTCAGTATCCGGATCCGGAAATATATGATTTTCAGGGAAAAGTTCTTAATTTTTTTCATTATAAAGTATCGAAAATTATTGAAAATTTTAGTATTTACCCCTCAATCTATTTTAAACATAGAGGGACATGCAAACGTAATGCAAAGATGTAAACGCCCGATTCACATCAGTACTTACATGAATGATGTTTAAAGTCGAGCGTCAGGGAAAAGTTATATTAAGCAAACTCCGGAAAAACGACTACCGGACTGAAAAATTCCAAATTTTTTTGTTTGCTGAAACTTTTTTAAGAGACTTTACATGTTTCTGAACTTTGAAGAATAAATCTGAAAGAGAAACGAGAATTAAAAATAATCAACTTTTAAGTTAGACAAACAAGAATATCTTCATCCTTGATCAGACAATGGTTTAAGAGTACCGTTGTGAATCGGACTTGTCGCTCAATTAGTTGAGGGCTACTTGAAGTTAGGTCTACAGTCCCTTTAAAATTTCGGAAAGATGATAAATTTTTATCAAAAAATTTTTGAGGGAGTTGTTTGACAAATGAAGGGTTAATAAAACGATTAATTGATTGACTGACGGACTAACTGATTTATTGATTGATTGACCGATTGATTGATTATCTGAGTGTTTTGATCCAGGAGACCGGTCGAGGTCGGAAAAGAGATTCCTCGGACGACGAGGATTTCCATGTTCAAGATATTCTCAAGAAAAACAAAATGAAGAAAACATTTCCGGACACTTTAAAGGTTAGTTTTAATGCATTGGAGTGATCAAGGTTATAATGCAAGGAAAGTTATTTCAAAGGTGTACGCATTTTTTTGTACTGCAGTGTACTGTCTTTGGGCGGAAAAGTAAACACAAGACGGATGTCACAGCCTGGATTGGAATCTATTTTCACAAAAATAATCAATGAAATATTCTGGTCATAGGAAACTATAAATGTGAATTTTCAAAATGCTTTTAACCTCCCCAAATACTGAACGAACACCGATGCATCTATTCTTGTTTACAAATTCCGCCCAGAGAGAACTGGTTTCAATTGTACGCAGAGTATACGCGACCGCAATTATCTTTCCTTGCATTAGTACCTTGGGAGTGATCAAGTTATTATTGATCACAAACGCTAAACGACGGCCGAGAACGCCTACCTTTATTTAAATAGATGATACTACTAATAATAAATATTTAATTTACATTTTTTCCAGCCAAAACCTAATTTTAAGCGTCTAGAAACCTTCCTTGGGTTCATGTGATAAACCCAACTAATTTGGGCAAGATCGGTTCAGCCATTTTAATGTTTATTGGATCGGTCATAGTCAAGGGTAATGGTCGGGCATAGTCTTGAGGTTTAAAGGGATTATGGTCGGGCATAGTCTTGAGGTTTAAAGGGATTATGGTCGGGCATTGTCTTGAGGTTTAAAGGGATTATGTTCGGGCATTGTCTTGAGGTTTAAAGGGATTATGGTCGGGCATTGTCTTGAGGTTTAAAGGGATTATGGTCGGGTATAGTCTTGAGGTTTAAAGGGATTATGGTCGGGTATAGTCCTGAGGTCCTGAGGTTTAAAGGGATTATGGTCGGGTATAGTCTTGAAGTTTAAAGCGATTATATTAGAACATGGATTATCGTTGTAATTTCAACTGACAATCCTATTCACAAAAGTAACCTCAAAGTAAGGTTTAAATCGAGGGGTTGGGCGGATTACATAAATATATTTAATATTTATATTTTTAGGTTCCTGGGAAACAAGTTTCAGCGGAGAGTCCGCAGCTCAATACTAGTTTACCTGACACCCCGGAGATCAAGGTTAATATTTAACTTTATTTACATACTAGCTCAAGTGACCGGCTTTGCCCGTGGAATTTTAATACAATTGAAAAAAAAATCGAATTTTAAGAAAAAAAATTCCAATTTTGAAGTTAAAAAAATATGTCGAAATGTTTTTAACCTATGTTACAATATATATATAACAATAACGAAGCAGAAATACTACATATTTGATAAATTCAGAAATCCAAATTAGCCTTACATTATCAGGTCTTCTCCTCAACAGAAAGAAACACACGTAAAAAAACTTTTCCGACCCCTTCCTTTTGGCAGTATAAAAAAATAAGAAAAATCTACACAATCGGAATTGGTACACATCCTCAAACGGAGGCTGAAAATAAAGAAATGCAATTATGACCAGTAAATAACATTTTAATGATATCTTTTAACACCAATTAACGGGCTTGTAATTACCTATTTTAAAACTGAAAAATGTTGTAGCTATCTTCAAAAACAAAAAAAGGTGGAGCGATCTGAAATATAGAGGCCTTCCTCAAAATCTCTAAATATCGGAAACTTTCCGGAGCCATATACATTATTTACGGTTATTTAAGGTTATTTACTGTTATTTACGGTTATTTACGGTTATTTACGGTTATTCACGGTTATTTACGGTTAATTACGGTTATTTACGGTTATTTACGGTTATTTACGGTTATTTACGGTTATTTAAGATTATTTACGGTAATTAATCTTTGATTTTTGTTGAAAGATTTGAGATAGTTTTAACTTTTTAGAGTAATTATGAATTATCAATAATTTCAATTTCCCGCTTAGATTGGAGAATTCATGGTGCTCAAGAGTGATGCCGGGGATCCGAACGCGGCATTGTGGAGAGTAGATGGTAAGGACCGGGGAGTAGATGGTAAGGACCGGGAAGTAGATGGTAAGGACCGGGGAGTATTAGGTAAGGACCGGGGAGTAGATGGTAAGGACCGGGGAGTAGATGGTAAGGACAGGGGAGTAGATGGTAAGGACCGGGGAGTAGATGGTAAGGACCGGGGAGTAGATGGTAAGGACCGGGGAGTAGATGGTAAGGACCGGGGAGTAGATGGTAAGGACCGGGGAGTAGATGGTAAGGACCGGGG